ATCGGCCGCGTTACCAGCAATCCCTGTACCGACCACAGACGCTCCTACGGTAAAATTGTCACCCAACCATCTTTTCACAACACGATGATAGTCGCGCATCGAACAGTAAAGTGTGTCACTATCATCAACAAACAAATCAGCACAAGTGTCGTTAACTCTGAGAACGATGATACTGGTATTTGTTGTTAATGATAGTTTATCCACTCCGTTTGGTTGTCCGTTATCAATGAAAATGTCACCATTCAATGTGACGAAAATCCCCGATGATTTCGTGACATTTCTGGCAATGGATTGCGTTGGAGTAACGCTATTATTAAACCATATATGAATCTGATTGTTTGATCGATCAGTAACATAGACCGTATTGTTTCTTGTGACGAAGAGACCATAGGGTCGTGAACCAATTAGAGTATTATTAGCGAAAGTAGTTCCAATTGGATCCCATGACGCGTTGGCACAAAATTTTGGTTGATTGTATGATGGAACTATAATTGTAAGGATAGAAGTTAAAATGTGGATTAGAACAACAATAAAAATGCGAAACAAGGAAAGGTAACCACTTACCATGACTGTGATTTAACAAAATGAACTTTTGTACTCGGCTATTATTAAAATCAGTGACATATATATTGCCATAGCTATCGAAAGCCAAAAACTGAGGGGATGACAGTTGGTCAGGTGCTGAATCTGACGATCCACTACAGCCAACTATACACCGGAAACCATTTGATCCTGATCCAACAATACGGTTGTTACCAGAATCCACGATAAACAGATAATTATCTGCATCGAGGGCGATTGCAGTGGGCACATTAAGTGAAATTGTGATGTTTGTCGATGAGCTTCCTGCAACCGTTAGTGCATTTAGTTTATCCGATTCGAAAAGTTGAATACGATGATTATAGCGATCTGCAACATACAGATCGAGGTTGACGTCAACGAAGATTCCCAAAGGTCCATATAGCATATTCGACGAGGAACCGGAGCAGCCAGTGCCAGCAACTACTATCGTTATATTTAAATCACTCAATGACTTAGCAAGAACTTGATGCTGACCGGGTGCTGAACAATAAAGATTATCATAAACATCAACGAACAAACTAGCACATGTGCTATTAAAAGACAAAATAGAGATGACTGTATTTGTTGTTGGCGACCACCTATTCACAGAATAATTGTAGCCGCTGTTAGCAATGAAAAGATCACCGTTGACTGTGACGAATATTGTTCTTGGATCGTCAATGCCAAGAGAAATTGTTTGTGTTGGTGCAGAGCTGTTGTTTAGCCATATTTGAACTCGAGGAAGCGATCTGTTCGGAACATAGATTGTATTATTAGTTGTGATAAATAGACTGTATGGATGTGATCCAATTGTATTATTATTAGCAAAAGTAATTGCATTAGCACTCCATGTAGCATAAGTACCGAGTTTGGGCTGATTGTATGAAACAACTAGAAAAAAATGACGTAGCCATTTTTCAGCGCGTCTGACTTAATAGGCTTACTTATTTGCGATCGATGCATGGTCGTAACATTCGACTGCGCAGTTGATAGAGGCGATGATGTATATCCTAAAAATCAGTTTATGTCAACAAATCAAAGGCGCGATATAGTTTCTTACCAATGTTTGCGGCTAGTATTGAAGTTGTGTCTAAAATTAAAAAGATCATTTCTATCCAGAACTAACTTTTTATTAGAGACTAAATCAAGGAGGAATAGTGTTCCTCGTACCGTCATCTTCGGTGCTTTCATAATGGTCCACTGTTTCACTTAACTTACCGCATGAATTTGTTAACAGAATAAATTTTTGAACTCGATTGTTCCCCCAGTCAGTGATGTAGATATTTCCAAAACTGTCAAAGCTAAACGACTGCGGATATGACAGCTGGTTAAGTGCTGCACCTGACGATCCACTACATCCAACTATACAACGAAAACCATTTGGTCCTGATCCAACAACACGATGATTGTGGCAATCCACAATAAAAAGATAATCGTCTGCATCTAACGTGATTGCAATAGGTTGGTTAAGCGTAATCGTGATATTCACTGATGTTTTTCCTACAACCGTGGTGCCATTCAGTTGTCCGAAACGAAAGAGCTGAATGCGATGATTTCGTCGATCAGCAACGTACAAGTCGAAGTTGGAAGTAACAAAGAGTCCGTGTGGCCAAGAAAGACTATCGGACGCGTTACCAGCAATACCTGTACCGACNTCGTCTGCATCTAACGTGATTGCAATAGGTTGGTTAAGCGTAATCGTGATATTCACTGATGTTTTTCCTACAACCGTGGTGCCATTCAGTTGTCCGAAACGAAAGAGCTGAATGCGATGATTTCGTCGATCAGCAACGTACAAGTCGAAGTTGGAAGTAACAAAGAGTCCGTGTGGCCAAGAAAGACTATCGGACGCGTTACCAGCAATACCTGTACCGACCACAGACGCTCCTACGGTAAAATTGTCACCCAACCATCTTTTCACAACACGATGATAGTCGCGCATCGAACAGTACAACATGTTACCAATGTCGACGAATAAACCGAAGCAACTTTCATTGACATACATGACAGGATAGCTCTTGTTGGTTGTTAGTAAAAGTTTATCTACTCGACCATTTGGCGAGCCGTTATCAACAAACATGTCACCGTTTGTTCTGATGAATATTGTGTATGGATTTAAAAAGCTGCCGAAAATCGTTTGTGATGGATTAGCGCTGCCGTTAAACCATACTTGAACTCGGTTACTTGATCCATTGGTAACATAGATTGTGTTGCTTTTTGTAACAAAAATACCATATGGATTAGCTCCAATCGTAGTATTAGCAGCAAAAATGATTCCATTCGGATCCCATGACGCATTTGCACAAAATTTCGGTTGATTATACGCTACGTCTAAAGTGAAAGTAATTATCTCAAACAACATAGCATGGGGTAGGAGAGAAGAAAATAAAAGTTCTCAATATCTAATTTACTTTTCCTATTAGACGATGTATTGGTGACTTACCCGTGTTATCTAATAAAACGAATTTCTGAATTCGAGTATTTCCATAATCATTGATATAAATATTTCCATTACTGTCGAACCCAAATGTGCGAGGGTTCGCTAATTGATAGGACGCTGAACCACTTCCACCAGTACAGCCTACTATACAATGAAAACCTCCCGGTCCTGATCCAACAACACGATTATTGTCACAATCTAAAATAAAAAGATAACCATCATTCCGTAGAGTTACACCAATTGGTCGATTGAGTGTAACTGTGACAGCTAACGATGTGCTTCCTGCTACTGTAATTCCAGTTGATTGACCCAAGCGGAACAGCTGAACGCGATCGTTGAACATGTCTGCTATGTATAAATCGAAGTTAACATCAACAAAGATTCCCATAGGGTAATTAAGAGTAGTGGGCGTGTTACCAGCTACACCTGTACCGGCAGCAGTCGTTTCTGTACTAGAATTATCATCTAACCACCTTTTGATGGCAAGATGATAGTTTGGCATCGAGCAGTAGAGTGTATTATTAATATCGACGAACAATCCACGGCAACTTTCGCTAACGTTCATAACAGGAACAGTAGTATTTTCTGTTGCCAACCATTTTACTACGTGGTTGTCACCTGCTCCATTATCAATAAAAATATCTCCGTCAGATGTAGCGAAGACACCATATGGATCCGTCAGATTGCTGTAAATGGTTTGCGTTGGATTGACACTATCATTGAACCACACCTGTATGCGGTCATTCGTTTGATCAGCAACGTAAACTGTATTGTTGGTTGTGATGAATATACCAAAGGATACAGTTCCAATTGCATTCCTATCAGCAAAAGTAACCGCATTAGGACTCCACACTGCATTCGTAGAAACTTTTGGTTGATTATATGATACAACTAAAATGAGAGTAATTACTTAAAACAAAGTGTATCTCTCTGCAGTATGATATAAGATAAAGCACACTATGTCACTGGTGCGTATGTCTTGCAATACAAGTTCAAAGATTGGTCGTGACTCACCTATGTTCTTCAATACAGTAAACTTTTGAACTCGCGTGTTGTCGCGATCGACAACATATATATTGCCAAGGCTGTCGAAACTCATAGATACTGGATTCATTAATTGATTGGAAGCCAAACCTCTTGCGCCAGTACACCCAACTATGCATCGGAAGCCATTGCGATCCGATCCAACAATACGATGGTTGCCTTGATCTACGATGAAAAGATAATTATCTGCATCGAGAAGAATCCCGGTTGGAAAGGAGAGTGAAATTGTTAAAGTTGACGATCCCTTTCCTGCAACTGCAATACCATTGAATTGTCCGGCTTGAAATAGTTGAATTCGATGATTATAAGAATCTGCCACGTATAAATCGAAATTGATGTTAATAAAAATACCCCAGGGTCTATTCAACCTATTCAAATCGTTTCCTGGAACACCTGTGCCGGCAACAATGATATATGCATTGGAGATGCTTTTTAACGACTTCTTAATGACTTGATGTTGCTCAGACATCGAACAATAAAGATTATTATTTGTATCCACAAATAAATTATAGCATTTTGAACATATGTACAGAACATGTACACCGCTCGTGGCATTCATAGACCATTTATCAACTCGGCCCGTGGAATTGTCACTATCCACATAAATCGCACCTTCTGTTGTAAGAAAAAGAGCATACGGAGAAGCCACGTTACTCGAGATACTTTTCATGGGCATTATGTTTCCGTCGACCCAGATAAGAACACGACTATTAGCGCGATCAGCTATATAGATTGTGTTGTTCTTGTCGATGAAAATACCGTATGGCTGACTTCCGATCGTAGTATTATCGGAAAAAGTTATTGCATGTTGGTTCCAAGCAATACTCGAACGGAATTTTGGTCGGTTAAAAGATTGCGCTACAAGAGAAAGCAAGAAACATCTCGTAGTGAAATTATTCCATAAGGTGTGTTTCAAATCAAAACATGCTCGAGTTGAACAAAACTATTGATTACTTACTCCACCCTTTTTCAATAGTTATCACAAGGATGAAAAGTCTCAACCAATCAATGGATATCATTGTCACAATACAATACAAGTACTTCTTTGATCAAAATTTCTTTCCAAGCTAATTGTTTTTGTTTGAGAACATTTAATATAGAAAATCTACTACTCATTTCTTTTATGTTCCATCCTCAATAGTTTCGACAGATCGACTATTTGCGCATATTAAATAAAATTGAGAGCACAGATCTATGTATGCTTTCCTCTTGAACAAATAAGAGCATGTTTTATTTGAACTGATGGAATCCAACAAATTGTTACAGAATGATTTTTCAGTTTGTTCCAAACAAGTTCCGCAGAACAGGACTTTTTGCGAAAAATCTTCCCTTATGGTAACATTATCAATGCCACTTTTGCCGATCTATTTATTTTTCTTCGCTTCTTTTTCCGATAATGCTACATTCAATTGAAACAATTTTCCTCTTTTTCTAAACTTTATATCGATGTATGATACCTCATCTTTGTAATACAAATATGAACGATTCTTTCATGCTGATAATATATTCTCGTGTTTATTTAGCATATTGTCGTGCATAAATGATATTTAAACAACACAGTAACATAAACTATTCATTTGCGAAGTAGACATTTCAAGTGTTAGAGCTTCGGTTAAATAAACTCTTCGCATTGGCTCGAAAAGCAGATGAGATTAAAGAGTAAATGTAAAAACTACTGCATGTATGAGTAAAACCGACGGTATAAACGAACGAGGAAACGACATTTTCTGTAGCTCTTTGTAAGGGAGTTTTCTGCCAACTTAACGTAATGGTAGCATGCAGATTGTAGGGAAAAACGGAGAACGCTGATAATAAGTAACATAGAATTTGAAAAATAAGAATACGTATTAAATAAGCATTGATGTGTTGTTGACGAGTGAAAACAGTTACTTGATGATGTTGAACATTGATACGTTTCAGATTTCGATAAGTGAGCCAGCCGAAACTTGAAAGGATACTGAATGGTACAAATGTTTGAAGAAAAAGTCCAATGAAGCAAACGGTATAATAATAATAATAATACAAGAAGGAATCAGCGAAACAGATCGAGTACTGTTGATTGATACGATAATAAATAATGTCTGGTAGAGGTGGAAAGATTGACAGAAATGAAGAAGAAACAATTGATATGATTGCTATTTTCATTGAACTTCGTTCTCGCTAGAAGGCTTCACGAGAAGTGATATGATAGCGATCAATCGAAGCTAAACAAAGCATATTACTAGTCAACAGGGACAAGTAATTCGCTAGATATGAGTTTAGTTTACGCCATAAATTCCAAGATTCAGTACTATTTTTACCGGTGATATAGTAGATAATATTCGGAAGGAGAAACAGAAACAAAATGAGTATATCATATGTTTGTGCTACGAGTAACCACAGTGAACAGGGATTATTTCTTGATCTAACTGTGAATATTAAAATATTGAATGCATTACCAATGAGACCAGCAACAAAAACAGGATTGGATAACCATACAATTTAATATATTTTGCAATGTTGTTGAGATCATCGACATGGGAACTTGTTTCAGTCATGTTCGGAGGATCAAATGAAAATTTTTTTTCTACAGAAATATTTATTTTAACAAAAAAATAATTATTTCTTTTCAATTTTAGTATGTCACAAATCAGGGATTAAATAGTTGGTTTAGAAAGAATGTCTTTCGAGTTCGATTTATGCTTCCTGTTGACACTCCAATTCAATATGCAGATAGCAATAGTAAATCAAGATGACACCAATTTTCCCGATACTCTTCAACTTGGACTGTATCTCACCATTGGTATATTCTAAATTACTCGCAGTGCACTTTTGAAATGATACGGTCAGCGAGTGCAACATTAACATCGAAGTCGTTTCGCAAGGACTTTATCAAACTACTTCGAAATTTCTGGAATAAGTTTGCGATGGGTCGAACACAAATTATTCCAATCAATGATCAAACTTATTCGACAACCAACGTTGGTACGCTGACACGAGATAAACAACAGAAAACTACGTCCAATAATTAAAACCGAGTCTGTTATTTTTGAAATTAATCTTGAAACTAAAATAAATCGCGTAATCTTGGTTATTGTCTAGTCCCTAAATTGTTTGTTCAAGATCAAACTTAAAAACAAGCTTACGCCCAACAATAGACTCTCTTAATTTAATTCCTATGGTCGCCCCATTTCTCCAAAGTATACAACACCTCCTTGTGCTGTAATGGTTAACATGTCTGATTGTAGCTCAGGCGATCTCGGTTCGATTCCGAGCGAGGAGATATGTTCTTTTTTACTATTGAGGAAAAGAGCGAGTGATGCATGTTGTTTTCGTTCTTTCTTTTTCGGCGAAAAAGAGAGAGAAAAAGAGAATGATGATGCAATTGTGTTGATGAAGTAGCGATTGAGTGATGCAACAAGAAAAATCTATCCGTGCCGGGATTTGAACCCGGGTGTTGGCGTTGAAGGCGCCATATCCTAACCGCTGGACTACACGGATATGGTATTGGAGATGCATATAATTGATGTCAGAATAATCAAGTGTTGATCACATATTTACTTTCATATATGATTTAGAAAGGCTAGCATCATCTTCATTGCAATAACACTTCACCTACACATACGGACCAGAAATATTCTTTTCTTCTTGTTCTCTAATCGGGAGTGTTGATATTTAGTACACGGACAATTCGTCGCATATATATACCGTAATTAATTTAGATTATAAAATGATCTGTTTTTTGTTGACATAGTTACCTATATAATTTTAATAATATTAAAACTACACTTTCGTCAATGGACCTTTCGGTAATGTAAAGTGAAACCTTGTATTTTGGTGATATTTCCAACAAAGAAAACTTGATAAAATATGAGATAAGATATTACCAAAATATCAAAAGGTAAAACATTACTTTATCGAGCATCAGATAAAGCTTGATTCTCTTTGTCCTATTAAGTGATCCTCAATATCATCGATCACATAGAAGCTCAACTAACCTCTGACTATGAGAAAATAATCCACTAACGCGTGTATGAGCTTTACAGTAGTTCATTTACTAAATATTTGTTTCTTCGTTTTGAAATGTGTTGACTTTTGTTAATGGAACTAGAGAAATTATTCGTATGAAATCGAGATCAACTCTCAGCCATTATCTTTCCGATAAAACATGTTTCAGTTAGTGTTACTACTTTGCTGTACGTATATTGTAAAATACTGGTAGTTGATTTTACTATTTATTACGTCTTATAAATTCCTTAATCATAAATAGTATATTACTCAACGATGTGCAGGTTCCTTAACTTAATACATGTTAAACTTTTACGAACATAGTTAATTAATTCTGCGACGAATTGACCGTCTACGGAGACAAAGTGGCGCATATTGTTTTCGTTCTTTTTTTCGGCGAAAAAGAAAGAAGCAGAGAATAGGATGATGCAACAAAAAAAAATCTATCCGTGCCGGGATTTGAACCCGGGTATTGGCGTTGAAGGCGCCACATCCTAACCGCTGGACTACACGGATATGGTATTGTAGATACGTACAGTTGATGTCAGAATAATCAAGAGTATACTTACAGTTACCTGCAAAAAAGCATAGACTTTTTTCTTCCAACAATATTTACCACGTCTGCTTGATTTTGATATCAACTTCAATAGCTCCCATTCTTCTCTACAAGATTCAGTGTTATAAAAGACGAAGTACTGCATTTGTATTTTTGACTTATGGTTGAATATGACTGAATCGTTTTTACTTTCAGATTTTCAAAAGCAATACCAGCAATGGCACTACAACGTGCAAATGACATTATCGGCAAGTCACGCGATGAATACCAATGCAATCATGTAGTCAATTACGTTTTAAATGGCGATAAAACCAAAGGTGGGTTAGCAAGAAACTATCTGAATTATGGTCAAGTAGTACTAGTAAGTTGTTTCGCTGTCATGTTGTTATATCATGCACTTTCCTCTTTTATCTGGTAAAGACACCTCAGGCACTCGATGTTGTCGTTGATAAAGACGGTGTTCATTGTGGGATCTTCATAGATAGTGGAAATTTTATACATTCTTCAACAAGAAGACATCAAGTGATTAAGGTTGGTCTAGAACAGCTTGACAAAGTTTTTCCTGATGGTTATACAATTCGTCGAAAGTAGTTGAGCCGTTGAACTCAAGTCATTACTTTTATTTTACGTAGAAAAATCCGACTTATTCATTTAATTAAGAATTCCTTTTTCAGTGAAATTTGTGTTGGTATAGAAATTGCACAAGAAGAGAGTCGAAAAACACCTTCTGTATTCTCTGCACGTCTATAGACGAGATTGAAAACATCTATGCTTTTCATTATAGAAGGAGTTTCTTTAATAAACATCGCATGCTTATGAGAGAAAAATGCGCACATGTTTTTCTTTTTCATTCCTTCTTTTTCTTCCGAGAGAAAACCCACTTTGAAGTATGACTTATAGTTGGAAGACTCCAGTTTATACGCAGAATCATCTTGTTGCTACACGTTTATTTAGGCAAGAAACGAAAAAAAAA